TTACAAAATACACTCTTCAAAAAACACATTGAAAAATGTCGAATGAGTATTTGAAAAATGTTGAATAGGTATTAAAAAATATGGAATAAGTATTTGAAAAATGTTGAACAATTATTTGAAAATATTAAATACGTATTAAAAATGTTGAACAATTATTTAAAAAAATATTATATATATATATATATATATATATATATATTACAAAACACACTATTCAAAAAACACATTGAAAAATGTCGAATGAGTATTTTAAGAATTTTGAATAGTTATTAAAAAATATGGAATAAGTATTTGAAAAATGTTGAACAATTATTTGAAAATATTAAATACATATTATAAATGTTGAATAATTATTTAAAAAATATTGAACAAGTATTTAGAAAATGTTTAAATAATGATTTAAAATATTGAACCAATATTTGAAAAATGTCGAATAAGTGTTAAAGAATATTGAACAAGTATCTAGAAAAATATTGAACAAGCATCTGAATGAATATTGAAAAATAAATTGAAAAAAATGTTGAACAGGTATTTGAAAAATGTTGACCATAAAAATGTTGGACATGTATTGGAAAAATGTTGAAAAAGTACTTAAACAAGGTGGAACCAGTATTTGTAAAATGTTGAACAAATATTTGGATAAATGTTTATCATGTATATAAAAATCTTGAACAAGAATTTAAAATATGTTGAGTGTCTATAGAAAAAATGTTGACTATATATTCAAATAATGTTGTTCTTTTAAAAGTTAAAAAATGTATACAAGAAAACCCATTTCTCTAAAACATGTATTAAAAAACAGAGAAAAACATCGAAAACGATGAAAACAAGGGGAAAAAACAGTGGAGAAAACATGACCATGTCGCCTCAAGTAAGGCGCACCATAAGTTTCACTATTGACCTACAGTGGCTGGCCACTGTGGTTATTAGCCAGGAGACCTGAGAATGATTCCCCGGCTTGTAGTGGCGAATGAATTGGGCCCCCACGGGTTGCCTCTGGTTCTGCTGACTATATCGCCATCCACCTCTTTGTCTTCGTACAACACCAGCTCATCGTCGGCGTCGCCGTCATTTTCCCCGACCACTTCATCTACTCCGACAATCGAGGGTGACATCGACACCACACTGATTGGCGTCGCAGCCGTCATGAGTCCTCCTCTGCTAGCCCCCTCACATGGCATACAACTCGTACTAGTCCCCGTTGCTGGCAACGCCAACGCGTGTCTTTGTCCATGACGTGTCTTGGGTTTGGCAAACCCGCCGCGACGCCTCGTCAACACTGTCTTCTTCCCGGCGCACCATTGTGTCCATGACTAACTTGGCGTCTCCTTGCGATCGTGTCTCCACGGCGGCTTATCTTGGGATTCTTCTCCAGTCTCATTGTCTGCATCGCTACCGTTGTGACTACGGGGATGTTGAGTAATATGATTGTTTAGGAAACATAGGATAGACTAGGATTTGTGCTACCTTATCTTGTACTCCAAGATGGGATTAAGTTGTCCTGCGTTTCACCGGTCCTATGATCCCAACTTGCGGAGAGACTCTATCTGTTTGACCGACCGGTCATCATCTTGTTCCTCTACCTAATCTGTCCGCCTCCTAGACTAGTTAATTCTAGTCTCTGTTTTCTGATTCTTCCATCTTATCTACTGGTCTTCGCTCTTCCTCGGTTTTTTGTTTTCTTACTAGCACAAATGTCCGTGCGTTGCAACGAAAAAAACACAGCGGTTCCTATGAATGGGCCAGGTCGAGCAACTATGCCATAAGACAATTGATGGATCGTTGATCAGGACATGCACGGGTATGATTCCCAGTAAATTGATTTGACTGAAGAGCGTAACTTTATTGTTAATTCATTCTTTAGATGGTTATTGGTACATTCTAAAATTTAAAAGTAGAACATGAAATAAGTAGCAATATCAACAAATCTGAAGTAATAGCAGCAGCAAGCTAACCAATCAAGCTAACCAATATCAACGTCACGCTCGCCGGACACAGTTACCGGACGCACGCGGGACAACAGCACAGCCGTTGTTCTCGTCAAACTCACCGTCTGCTGCTAGACAACGGACGTCTCGTCCTCGTGTTCCCTTCTTCCTCCTCTCCAATCGGGAACTGCTAATTCCCTCGATAGATTAGGCGGGCGCGTAGGCGACTGACGGTCTCGAGCGTTGCGAGAAAGCGCCACGGGGCTCTGGGGCTCACTTCTCAACTGGTTCCGAAGGTTTGCCGCCTAGCCCTCCTCTTCCATCCTTTTCGCTCACGGTCGGCGGGAGGGACGAAACACCCTGTGGAATTTGCTTCATCGTATGCCTCCTCTCGTCCGATGGCTCCATCTGCTAGTCCGCCTCTACCGCCGGATCCACCTTTTGCCTTCTCTTTCATGAGCCAGTATTTATTGAAGGGTTAGAGGCGGCAGCCAGGATTGTGGAGATTGGTGTCTCGTGTAGGAAACAAACACGAGCGGGGAAAACGGGAGTGCTTGCGAACGAAAAGACTCCAAGTGAGCAACATATATAGGACAAACAAAATCACCTAAACGGGGCGGACGAAAACAACAATGCAGCGGGGGATATATAGATAGATTAGTATCACCTTGGATATGAAAAATAAATATAGACGTGTTGAAGATTAAAAAACTGAAAGCGTAAATTCACGGAAAGAAACATATTATGACGGTGAACCCACGGAGTCAAATCCGTGCTTAATTATTAGGGTAAGATAATATTCGATTGGGATCTTGCTTTTCATGCTTTTTCGTCTCTGCAACTCGCGATTTTGACAGAGAGAACCAAATCCAAGTTGGTGAAGATCATTGGATTGATCTCCAACAAGGTAACACCGCCAGTTTATACAACGCTGTACCGCTTTCGAGGATCAGGCACACAGACACATTACTCATCTCGATGAGACGCAGCAATGGAGTTATCTTCATTTATACTACACTACTCATGTCTGTGTTGCAGCTCATTATATGCTATGCAGATGATGTTAGCTTGCTGCTGCTGCTGCTACTTGCCAATCACTTCAGGGTCCCAGCACTGCCAGAAACTGATGCTTATGGGGCCAAATGTTTCTGCAGCTAGAGGAAATGTGATGATCAATCACTCACTCTGGCTGCTAGCATTCTATCTTGACATTCCAATTGACAGTTGCATCTCTGTCTAGTGCAAAGTAAAACACAATGGAGAACAAGTACGACATCCAACGCATGTTTCCGTTATCATTTTGCGCGCGGAGATCGATCTTCGCCAATATGAGAATGGCACAACACCCACCCGGCAGATTGATGGTGGCATCAAGTTCGAGTGCTGGCAGACCTTGAATCTTCAGATTGTTCTTCACCATGGTGACGCACTCCCAGGTTTCCACAAACTGCCTTCCAGATCACGCAAGGGAATGGTTTTGCTCAAGAACACGCGCACTTGCGCCCAACGCAACCAACAAATCTGATGATCGGAAGACACTAGCGCCGGCTCGCACTCAACCTATATGCAGCTGGCCAACATAGTTATCAACAGGAGAAAAAACCAAGAGTACAATGTTCACTCTATCAACAGAAGAAGAAGAAACTAAGACTAAACTCAGTTACACACGGTGGTCACAGAAGCGCAACTATCTAATGCATGTGCTTCTGTACCACTTTGAGAGAGGTAAATGTATCACAGGATTGAGTTCAATCAAATACAGTGCCGCGAAGTTGTTAAGCCACTCCAAGAGACGGCTTGACATCGATCTCGCTTCATCCATTCTGTTCCGCCGAAGTAAAAGGTGCATATTCTGGATTCAGATTAACTGCTCCAACAAAGGGCTTGACATCAACCTCGTCTGCTTCGTTCCGCTCCACGGGAGCACGAGGTGCATATTCTGGATTTGGAATAACCGGTCCGACAAAGGGCTTGGACATCAATCTAGCTTGACTCGTTCCGCTCCACAGGAGCACGCGGTGCGTATTCTGGATTTGGAATAGCCAGTCCAACAAAGGGCTTGACATCAATCTCGCTTGATTCGTTCCGTTCCACGGGGGTACGAGATGCGTATTCTGGATTTGGATTCAGCAACCCAACAAAGGGCTTGACATCAACCTCATCTGATTCGTTCTGCTCCACGGGAGTGCGAGAAGCATATTGTGGATTGGAACGATCACCGGGTAGAGTGCTGCCATTTCCGGTGGCACCTTGCGTGTTAGGATAACACCCGATGGCTGCCCAAGGTGCGTTGTTTGGAGAGAACAGATTGTTGTGAAAGCTTCCAAGAAGTGCCTGAAAGAAGCATATTTTAACTTAGTAACTGGATTAAGGTCTGCTGTCCCATCACTCGTCTGTTTCATGTAGGCATATAACAAAGGACTGAAATAGAAGAACGCAGTTCCTTATATTCTAGAAAGAAGCAAAATATTTTGGATTGAGGACTTGACACCAACCTGATATGATTCACGCTGTACAACGGAAGTATGAGATGCATATTCTGGATTTATATTAACTAGTCCAACAAAGGGCTTGACATCAACCTCACTTGATTCATTCCATTCCATGGAAGTACGAGGTGCATATACTGGATTGGAACGCTCACTGGGTAGAGTACTGCCATTTCCGATGGTACCTTGCGTGTTAGGATGACACGCAATGGCTGCTCTAGGTGCGTTGTTTGGCAAGAATGCACTGTTGTGAAAGCTTCCAAGAATTGCCTGAAAGAAGCATATTAAATAAATTACGGTCTGCTGTTATCGCTTTGTCTGTTTCATGTATGTAGGCATATAACAAAGGGCTGAAATAGAAGAATGCAGTTTCTTATATTCTACTGTAGAAAGAAGCAAGCTATTTGGTACTACCTCCGTCCCATAATATAAGAACGTTTTTTATACTAGTCTAGTGTCAAAAACGTTCTTATATTATGAGACGGAGGGAGTAGCAGATAACACTTGCTCATTAACATATTTCACCTACGAGGAATATGGAGGAAGTTTGAACACTATAATAACTGTTTACAGCGATAAAACGAAAAGTTTGACATGTTCTAACATATTTACAGACCTGGACAGGAGTTTCAGCTATGAGAGGCCCAGCTATAGAGCCACTGATAACAAAGCTATTGACGGAAGCAAGGGTAATACGCAGAGACCGATGGTCATTAGATGTCAAAATGGATCCAGAAAGCCGGATGATTTCTAAAGGACCCTGCAGAAATTGAATCAAGAGTTATGCAAAGTTGGAAAGCAATTTTCAATGGGTGAATAGAACTGAAACGAAAACTGTGCTCACCCGGAAACATGGACCTCTCTAATCACAAATAACTAAGACAAAAACAGTAACATCCCCCTCAAGTCTTCTTCATGTAATTTGACACTGTGGAATTTACTCGTTCGAAAAATCACTTGACCCACATTTCTATCTTCAGAATTTTATGCTAGATATACGTTTCTGGTGTTGAATAATTGTAACTAGAATATGTTAAATCTTGAGGAACTAAGGCCAAACCTTGTGATTTAGAATGACACCAGATGGCTGGAGTAGAACTGCTTCCCTAACAGACCCAAGAGCTGAAAGAATGCAGATGGCCTTCGAATTCAGCTGTGAGACTGCCATGACCCTTGATATGATATCCTGCAGAACAATTTGTAGATAATGAAATTTCTTGCCACATTTTAATGGAGAGAGTATGTTAAGTACCAATAATAGCCCTTCTGTTATAAGGTACATCCAAATGTTAGGACATCTGCAAATCATGTATATACAGAAACAGGTTCATGGATCCACAGCAAAAGGAAACCCACGAGCTAAGGCAAACACATGCCCTTCTGTGCAGTGCTCTGGACCTATTTGCCTTTGCCCTCCAAGCTGAGCTGCAGGTGACAGGTCCATCCAGTCTAAACTGAAACTAATCTTCTTTCAACAATGACGCTTTTTCTCTTGACTGAGTTCAGAAGTTTACTGTATAACTCATGCCCAATTTATATAATAAAGATTCACTTCTGCTGAAGTTGGCTACTGACTTTAGCATACTAAACAGTAAGAAATGGACATTCATCCCATCCCACTTGTCATCAGTGTTTTGTTGAGCTAATAGGTTCATTTGCATCAATAGGTTAAACAGCAAGCAACGGCCTCGTTTGCAACTTTACGTCAAAGCGATAATAAAGATGAGCAATCGACCGATCTGAAGATTACAGATTGCAACCGAGGTCCTATGCTGCAAACAATTTTTTTTATAGAAAGCTAATTGTGACAACCATGCCAAGGTTTTTAACAACTAGAGCAGTTAGCTGTTCATAATGCCATACACCACACTCATAATTTCTATTGTCAGTTGCATATTCCAAGGCTCTTGAACAAGAATTTCTTCGCTGTTTCGGGGCATACAAAATCAGGACAGGCTGCACAGATGGCTTGTTTCAGTTGAGAGTTTCCGGTGGAAAGGTACAAAAATTCCATGGCAGTCATATATACAGAGCTTATTTCAGCTCTGATTCTACATGAACAGAGAGTGAAGACAGCAGCCAAGAATACCTCTCCGGCGGCAATGGTGAGCACGTGCGGCTGGAGCCCGCCCGAGTCCCCTTGCCCTGTCCACGGCGACAAGCGAGGATGTCAGCAGACGCTAGGCGGTCAAGCATCCATGAGCATGCATCAGGGCGAGAAAGGCTCACCGTGGGCGGCCGGATTCGGCCGCGCGGCCGGCGAGGGCGCGAACCCCGGCGGCGGCCCAAACCCCGGCGGTGGCGGCAGGCAGGCGACCTTGCGGGGCCGCCCGCGGCGCCTCTTCTCCGCCGGAGGCGGCAGCGGCGCCCGCGGCGGGGGAGGGGGAGGGTAGACCGGGCGGGGGATCGGCTCGGCGAGCCGCGGCGGCGGCGCGACGCGGGTGCGCATGGCCCACACGATAGGGGACGGGCCCCGCAGCCTGTGCAGGCCCGTCGGCGCCTCCATTGGCCGCGCCTGGGCGGCGGCCTGAGGCCTAGCGGTAGGCGGCGGCGGCGGCGGCGGCGATGCTACAGAGTCCTCCCCGGTTGACACCGCCGCTTCGGTTTCTTTCATTTTAAAAAAATTCGTGGTGATGTTGAAGTTTGTTCCGCTTATTGGAACTTGGTTGGGGTTTTATTTTATTTTAAGGAATGCATACCAAGAAGGGCATAAATGCTTGGATTAAAATAACCTATTATAGTTATACAATTATAAATGCCACACGTTTTTCTTTTTCTTCCTCCAGAGGAAGGGTCTCGAAGGACCCGGAAGTGGTGGTACACGGCGGTTTGTTTCAGATCCCAAAAGAAAATTCTATATACAAATATAAATGTCGCACTTTTTCTTTTTTTTGCTGTGGAAGGGTCTCGAAGGACCCACGAGTGGGCGGTACACGGTAGTTTATATTAGGTCCCAAATAAAACATATATTTATACTGATATAAATGACATGTGTTTTCTTTTTCTTCTGGATGAAGGGTCTTGAAGGACCCCGGAAATGGCGGTACACGGCAGTTTACATCAGATCCCCCAAAAAAATACAGTTATAAATGTCACACTTTTTCTTTTTCTTCTGGAGGAAGGGCTCTAAGGACCCACAAGTGGGTGGTACATGGTAGTTTATATCGGGTCCCAAATAAAAAATAATATGCTGATATAAATGCCATATGTTTTCTTTTTCTTTCAGGGGAAGGGGCTGGAAGGACCCTGAAACGATGGCACACGGTTGTTTAAATCAGGTCCCAAATAAAAACGAAGATTAGAGATAACTCCTTGACTTATGCGAAGAGGACCTCGGATAATGGAAGAAAATGCGAGCCGTCCAAATTAGTTTTTCACGTCTGCAATCTTGTTGTTGCTCGCGATAGGCCACTTGTGACAACAGGATCTACATTACAGCTGGCCAAACGGGCCGGGCCAATCAGGCCAGCCCACAAGCACGCCAACATGGCTCGCCATGGGCCAGGCATGGCACTGGCTAAACGGGTCGGGCCCAGCACGCGGCACGCCTTGGGCCGTGCTTGGGCTGCTAGGTTGAGCACGCGAGCCGGCACGATACGACCCGGTTATATTTTTTTTTATATATCTCTATATGGCGTAATACTAGCCCAGTAGGAAAAATAGGCCCGAAAAACGTCAAATAGGCCAAGCAGTAGGTGGGCCAGCATGCCTGGCGTGCTGGTGGGCCGTCCCGATTACCATATGGGCCGTACCTAGCCTGCAGGCTGCAGCACGCGGGCCGACACGACACGGCCCGTATAATAATCGTGCCCTTGCGGGCGGGGCCGTGACATGCTGGGCCGACCCGTTTTGGCCAGCTCTGACCTACATAGCTTCCATTTCAGCAGGGACGCACGTCGAAGAAAGAAACCATGGATGTTGATATGAAGCTACACTGCCTCCCCTTAGGCGGCCAAGCCGAGCCTCCATTCCACTAGCGACACACGTCAAGAAAAGAAACCATGAACGTTGCCGAAGCTACACTGTCTCCCCTTAGGCAGCCAAGTCGAAAGGAATGACATCAGTCGCCTTCGATCGGAAGGATCAAAGGCTATGCCATGAAGGCCGACAATCGACGACTACCATCAAAGCTTCTTATCAGACCTCACCTTTAATCTTGGGCTCCATCCTCTTTCATGGGCTCCAACTATCTGTCACTTCCCTGCTCCTTATCCATCGTTGTGGTGGCATCGGGAGTCAAGAATGTGAGTAAAGCTTCCTCCAAACATGGAGACATCAAGCCAATTTAGGGATTCGCTGACACCAGAGGATAAGATGACCTAGCCTTGATATGGACATGATTAACCAAATCTCCTCCCTCGCTTCCACTTTGTCTGATCTTGCCGTCGGAGAAGAGTGCTGATCAGGACAAGAACACCTTGTGAGAGACCTCTCAACTATTCTAGAGAGGAAAGGAAGGCAAGATCTTCAAACCCGGCAGGCGTCCAGGTTGAGGAGTGCGCCGGACTGGTGGGGTGCCCCATACCCGGCTGCCACGTCGTCCCGATCTTGCGGTTGATGGAGCGGCGTCCGCCGCCGATCCGGTCACGCCACCGCCGTGGGACACCCCCGATGGAGATCCCGATCAAGATTGAAGACGACCCTGACCGAAACCCTGCCACCAGCGCCGCCGCACCGCGCCACCTCCTCCTAGCCTAGTCGCCGCCGGATCCAGCCGTCCCCGCCTCCGGGAGACCAGCCGGACGAGGCGCCCCTTGTCCCTGAACAGCCAACCCGCACCACCGCCACGAGGACCAGAGGAAGGAGGGAGTGCCCCGCCGCCGCCCGCACCACCGCCACGAGGACCAGAGGAAGGAGGGAGTGCCCCGCCGCCGCCCGCGCCGCACGGGCTTCGCCCGACGGGTGCACTCCGGCGGCGGCGAGGGGAAGGAGATGTTGACGAGTGGGAGTCTCCGGCGGCCGATCTAGATCTCCCGAGACGCGCGCGTGGGGCGTGTCGCGGGAGCGGATACAAAGTCTTGTGACCCGCAGGGCTTAAATGGCGATTTGTTTCGTGACAAAGAGAACAACTAGACAACTCTTTCTTCTATATGAATAAACATTACTCTCACTAGGTTTTCTGCACACAAAAAACAAAACATGATTGTGTTGGCTGATATTGAGAATGCTCAGAATGTTTCACGATGGCATGCTTCACAGGACTCTGATTAATTACACAGTTGTTACATTATTTTCCAGGAACCATAGAACGTATGCTATGGTAATACCTGCATGTTGCGTTGGTCTTGGACTTTGGTATATGAACAAGATTGAAGAGCGTGCAGCCGAGAAGTCTGCCCGCCGGTCAAAGATCGACTGGGTCGAAGCTGGTGTTGTCTCTCCGGTCGTGAGGAACCAAAAAGGTTGCGGTAAGTGTCTTGAGGTTGTATATTCTCCGCTGCTAGCGTGTGTTTTAAATTGTTTCATAGTAGATCGCGGTTTATTTTGAGCTACGTGTAGGTGCAATTTAACTATATATATACAAGGGAGTTGGTATAGCCATCGTAGATTTACATTTTAGCACATGATCACTTTACACCACAAGCTTAACTCTTGCAGGATGTTGTTGGGCCATGGCTGACGCTGCCTCGGTCGAAGCGGTACACAATCTGAAGACCTCGCAGTCAATCTCCCTATCAGTTCAAGAGTTCATTGACTGCAACTTCAACATACTGAACAGAGGATGTCAGGGTGGTGCCCCCGTTCTCGCTCTCTGGTACTCCCTCCGTTTTAAATTACTTGTCTTGGATTTGTCTAGATACAGATGTATCTAGACTTATTTTAGTGCTAGATACATCCGTATCTAGACAAATCTAAGACAAGTAATTCAGAACGGAGGGAGTATATACGAAAAACTGGACTCTCGAGTGAATCCTCCTACCCATACATGGCTCAGATGAGTATGTCGGGTTGCAAGAAGCACAAAAAAATAGCAGCAAGGATATCAGGCTTTCGCCTTGTCCACCGGTCTGAGGATGCACTGGAGAAAGCAGTAGCGAAGCAGCCCTTGATTGTCATTTTAGATGGCAAAGCTGATTTGCTGAATTACAAAGGAGGCATCATGGACCATGAAACCATGCCAAAAAAAAAAACCTACACTTACAGACATGTGATCTTGATTGTCGGTTATGGCACGGATCACAACGATGTTAAGTATTAGGCTAGTCATAGTGGGGAGGAACTTAGTAGTAACATCAATGCCACGTAGGACAAAAAACTGATGTGGCAAATATTTAATGTGGAAAGAGGGAGGAGTGGTAACATAGCTAG